GGACTGGCATTGTGAGACGGAATTCTTTGAGTCAGAGTATTCTGCTGCGGCTGAACGGTCGCCTGCTTGTTCATTTGATTATGCTGCTGCTCCAACTGATTATGCAATTGCTGCTGATAATACGGCCCATAACCGTTTTTCTGAGGTAATATTTTTGCTTGTTGCATTCCATTTTGAATGTATTGTCCATTCATTTGCGTCGGATAAGGACTAGCTGGCTTTTGCGTTTGCGACAAAGGAATTATTTGATTTCTTGGATGGGACGCCTGCGTCTGCGGATATACCGACTGCACATATTGCGTGTACCCATTCTGAGTGTATCTGATCTGCTGTTGCAGCTGCGGTGAATAGGACGTCGGTTTCGAGGTGTTGACGGGAATACCAGCATAGGTTTCTCTACGATCGACCACGTCTTTGCCTTCGTTCGCGCAAGACCCGCAAGACTTCTTATCCGTTAATGATCCAATCGAATCGCCTGAATTCGGTCGTCCAAATGTGGGTTTAATGGTGTCTGGAATCAGATTAATGCTTCTCAATTGATCCTGGAAAGGTGTTGCCGGCACGCTATCAGCTTCGCTCTTTAAAGGAAGAGTCTGCTGTTGGAATTTCGCGGCAGTGTTTTCCCGAATCGTCTCTGCCTCCTGAAGGCTTCTAATTTCTCGCAGTACTTGAGCAGTTTCAGGCTTGTTCATCGCCGAACGCAGGACTCTCTCCAAAATAGGGTTGGGTATGTACGAATCCTTCTCATCGTCTTCTGCTGTTGCAACGAGCACCACTTGGTCACAAAATGATACGCTCTTCTTTTTCCCAATCCGTCGTTTCACCTTTCGCGGAGCAATATCTTCTTCGTTTGGTAATATCGTTGTGTTTTGTATAGTGTTCTGCATCGCCACTTCACTAATGTCGTCTTCCGGGTAATCAACGGGCAAACCATTCTCATGCGGAAGTGTCAAGGACATAGATAACATCGCGACATTCAATTCGCTTTGTTGAACGGATTCGTTTTGTGGCACCGTCGCGACAAAGCTATTTTGGCTGGAACTCGAATCAAAACTAGAGTTTAAAACAGTCTGAGAATTTGTGGTTTCTATCTTTGTGAAGACTACGGTATTTTCAGAAGATAATTTGGCCGACTTTGTACTTTCCGTCGAAGATGTTTCCTGAGGCGTATCATTTCCTGAGGATGTTAACGTCGGGGAAACGCAATTTACATTTTGCTTCGTTTGGGGCTTCACCTCTATCTCTGACTTCGAGGTCGGTTGCAGCTTGATCTGTTCAAACCTAGCAGCCATGTCTTTTACGGAAGAAGCGACTCTTGGACAGTCCGTAACGTCACGACCTTGATCGTAATTCTGTCCGAGATTATTCATCATTAAATCACTGGTTCTTCTAGCAATAGTCGGTCCTGGAATCGTCTGCACTGACGGTGTTCGAACTTTTGGAATGTCTTGATTTATAGGCCCTTGTCTCTTCATTTTTCTCTCGGCCTGTTTAGCTTGCAGTTCTCTCAACCACGTTTCACTCGAGGACTTCTCCTCATCCTCGCGCTCCTGTGCTCGTTTCTCCTTATTCGAATCGTCAGTTAAGATCTGTTCCCTTTTGTTTTGCAACTGCGTTAATAAGCTGCCAATCTGCTGAGCTTCAAATTGTTGTGCACGTTGTTGCGATTGAACAGAAGCTAAATGAGAGAGAAGTTGTTGAGTCTCCTGAAGATGAGTTGGCTCGTCGATCGGTGGCGGCGGTGGCGGAAAATCTTCACTAGTTTGTCTCGAATGCGACACCGAGTGGATCGATGGATACGGTGGTGGTGGAAAGTCTTCGCTCGGTTGCCGCGAGTGAGAAATATTGCCGTTTTCGGGATAAGGTGGCAAAGAATCCGGTTGAAACGGTTGTTTAGAGGGACTTTGCTCATTGTGTACGTCCGCGCGAGTGACGACAAAGGTTGGCTCATAGAGTATACCGTTAGCATATTGTATGACGTCGTCTTGAATCCTAGGCTTGTTATTGTAATTCGTTTGACACGTTCCAGAAGTGTTGGTATTCTGTTCATTATAAGACGGTATAAATGGAAGCGAATGCGATTCCGAGGAGTAATCAGCATAATCAGAGTTCCTGTTCGTCACGTTAGGTGAGTTGCTCGCGTTCATATGATTCCAATAAACGTTGTTTTGATCCTGCGACGAGTTGGGCACACACCGATTGTCCGGCAAAGGGTATGCAGCTTTGTCAGATTGCTGCTCATTGTGCACTTCGCCCGAACACTTAGACTTGCTAAGTTGAGAAGTGGTCCTGAGCGGAGGGGGCGGAGGCACTTTCGCCACGTGTAACACTTTGCCGGCGCTGCCGTGGAAGCTCTTTCTCATCAAACGGCTTCTTTCGAGATTTGGATTGCTAGTGTTTCCAGGTCCATTGTTTCCAGCGAACTCCAGATGTCCCTCGGATAAATAGCCGCTCAGTGTTTGACTCGCATCATTGCCTTTTAGACCAACGCTGGAATCGTCCACCGATTGTTTCGGTAAAATGGATAATCCTTCCGTATTCACATTTGTCTGACCATCCTGCCCTTCTCGTAAATCTGGCATACTTCTGTTCTTCCTTTTGATCAATCCACCCATAAGCAATTTTCTACGAATCTTGTGCTGCTTCTTGCCTTGCTTCTGCTCGATCGTAGTCGTGTTGTTGGGCTGTGCATTTCTGATGGCAGTTGCGTTAACTTCGGTTTCCTTCGGCTTCTCAATCTTTACTCCTTTCAGAGATGGTGACAATCTAGATGGGGCTATCGAAAAATCCTTTGCTACATTCTTGTTCCTCTCCTCGCTTCTTGCTCGTTTCTTATCTTTTTTATCATCTTCGCAACGTTTCGTGCGGCTAAACAAGCCGGTCCTTTGCGTTGGACGATCACGCAGCATGTATTCCTCGTCCTCAATAACGTTCACCGCTGTCGCTTTACTGCGTAGAGTCTTCTTCTTCGGTAAAGTAGCGTAAATCTCGATACTCTTCGTGACAGGTTTATCGACCATTGTTGTCGGTGCATTCACGAGAAGTTCCCGACTATTTTGTCGAGAATGATTACCTTTATCTCGCGAGCTTTGCCTCGAATGTTGACTCGATTTACTGTTCTCCCGTGAGTGTCTCCCTTCAGGTGCCCCGTCTGAAAGAAAAAGAACACAACGTCACGTATACTTTCTTTCTGAATGTGTTACATCCATATATGTAATATTTTTCACTTTTTAATATTGAAGGATGAAAATATATCGTTTCATTGGCAAGTATTGTATAATCCATTCATAAGTACAATATTCCGAATAAACCGCCGCGTCTGGCAGCATCCAGGGCCTGCGCACAAAGAACGTGTACGACTATTCCGCATATACAGGGTGTTTCAGGGTAAAGTGTCCTAACTTAAAATATGAACTTAGGACCTCAAAACAAGAAAAAACTTTCCTCTGGAGACAGATGTCAAGCCTGTCTCAATGTTCAAGGCCGTTACTTTGAACAAAATTTATAATTAAGTAAAAATTTTCATATTTTTTAATAATAAAGTATTTGAA